CTTCTTACATTCGACAGTGGAAAGGGTTATCCTCTTCTTTCTGCAGATCTGGACTTGGGTTTGGGCAGTGGAAAGAAAGGGAAGAACAGGCAGAAAGGAAGACGGAAGGTGGGGTGCAGGAGGGGAAATAACGGGGATATGCAATCCAAAGCCCTGGAGTGTGCAGGCAGGAGGCTAAAACTTTACACGCAGTCTCTTTGATCCTTGTAAAAACTCAGAGATAGATTTTATTTTTACTTAGAATGAGAAACTGAGGCTTACAGAGGTTAAGGAGTTCATGCCTTGTCATTTGGGTATGACTCTTACAGTGAATAAAAGGTTTTTAGTAGCCAGAGGTAATGACATACACCTGAGCAGAAGGACCTCCAGTATGAGCCCAGTCTGAGCAACTTAGCAACTAGAGAGGCCCTGAACGAATGAATGAAAGAATAAAGGAATGAATAAAGAAAGACATAAATGAAAGAATTGGGGCTGGGAATGTAGCTCAGTACAAAGGCCCTGGGTTCAAGCCCCAGTATCATCCAACAAAACAAAACAAAACAAAATTTTTGGTATTCAGAAACCTAATTCAGGTTGGTTGTCATAATAGCCATTTAACAAATTAGAGCCCTGAGGATCAGAGGGCTAAGTGATTTTCTTAAGGGCCATGGAGAGAATGGCAAGGTGAAAGCTTGAGCCAAAATTCCCCCTGCCCTCTCTAGTCTCCCTCAGTTACCCAGGCCTGGCTTGAACTTCCAATCCTCCTGCCTCAGCCTCCCAGAGTGCTAAGAGTACGGGTGTGTGCTATCGCACTAGCTGAGCCCACTCCATACTCTCCACCCATGGAATGTCCACAGATCTGAGGACGAGGCAGACAGTGTCCTCTCAAGTTCGTATGTTGAAGCCCTAACTCTGCACCTGAAGGCCAGGCTGAGGGGGGGGTGGCTAAAGTGACACCGTTGGGGTTGGCTCTGATCCAATCCACCCTCACATTCTGGCAGCAAGAGGAGTCGAGCAAGACATCGGGGATGCCCATGTCAGAGGAAGGACCACGAGAGGATGCAGCAAGGATGCAGCCATCTGCCAGCCCAGGGGAGAGGCCTCGGGAGGAACCAGGCCTGGGGGCCTTCAGCTGGGGCGTTAGGCTTACAGAGTTGTTAGAGAATGAAACGCTGTTTAAGCTGCTTGGTCTGGTCACAGCCTGAGCACAGGGAACAGTCTTTGCTCCTTGCTCCAGAGGGGAAGCAGTGGTCTTGCTTCCTCTGCCAAGAGCACTCAGCCCAAATGAACCAAAAACAGCCTAAGTTCTCTGAAATTCTTGTCAACACCAAGTGGTCCAAGGGTAGAAATAAATATGCTTTGATTCAAGAAGCACAAAGCAAACTGAGATCAATAGAAGGCCAGAAACACAAATTATGAGTGAAAATCTGCACATTTTCTTTGCAGCAAAAGCACGCTAGACACAAGTGAGAATGGCCAAATCCCCTGGTATCAGGGAAAATTAAACTGATGATAGAATGTGAAATATCAGTAATTATGTTAGAAAAACTGAAATTTCTACATACTGTGTACTGAGATAGGAAAACTGTGTAATTATAAACAAGTTTCCCAAGTTTGGGAATTCTGTGTGTTTGTGGGTAACAGCAAAAGGTGCTCCCCATCATCAGTTCTGGGCACCCTCAGGTCTAAATGAGAGTGGTGGACAAAGACCCTTGGTCATGGGACAGGCATTCTGCAGCCATTTCCTGCATTTCGCCAACCAGTCTTCTAGGGACTGGGACCGAATCCAGGATTTCACTCTGACCTGCTTCCCCTATTCAGAGTGCCTATTCACAGTGTTTGCTGTGAGCAAAGATCTCACTAAGTGGCTAAGTTGCCAAGGCTGGGCTCAAACTCAGTCCTTCTTCCTCGGCCTCCCCAGGCTGGGAGTACAGGTGTGCATGGCCATGTCAGGCTCTGGCGTTGCTTCTATTCTGCGTCCTCTCTCCGCTGTGCTTCTCAACTCTCCATTTCCAGATGGGATTCGCAGTTTCTTCACTTACTTTAGGGCTTTGGGGTTGAACTTTTGGCCGCACACATATAAGTCATGAATTCTATCACTGACCCACACCAGCCCCAATCTTTGTGTTTTGGTTCCCACTCTGCCAGTTAGTAGCTGAGCACCACTAAAGAAGTGACTCAACCACTCTTTGCCTCAGTTTGTAAGCCTTGTGCATTTGATGAGCGGGGACATTAAATATCAGTCTTGCAGAGCTGTGTGAAGGTCCGGTGAGAAAATGTGAAAACATGCAGCCCAAAGTCTATGGATGGGGCCATAGGGACAAAGAAGGACACTGAAGTTCTCAGCTTCAAGAAACAAAGCAGCTGAGCATGGTGGTGCCGAGGCAGGAGGACTGCAAGTTTGAGCCCAGCATGGGCAATTCAGTGAGACCCTGTTACACTTAGAGAAAACAAAGCGAAGGGTATTAATAGCTGTGAAACAAGAAAGGCCAAAATGGACTGCACACGGAATTCATTTCCACAAGCCTTGCCTCCTGTCACTGTATTACTGGAAATCCTCCTCCTCTTGCTGACTCTTCAGAGCCGGTCAGTGTCAGGGTTGAGAGAGGAACCCCTGCGTCCTGTAAGCTCCTCCAGCACTCAACCTCCCCAGCATTTCTTGCCCAACTTGTGGCCCCCACTTTCCCTGCAGGTTATGGACTCCCTCAGCCAGAACCCTGCCTCTGACTCTGCTCCCTCCAAGGACTGCTCGGGAAGTTTCTGTGTGGTGCAGACACCTGCCAATCTACTGCCTCCACTCCTGGGAAAGCCTCTGTTCTTCATAAGGACTTTTTAATGTCTGGTAGATCCACTCGAAGAAGGAAGTCTGCAATTCAGGCATTTGTCATTAAGACAACAACTTTCTAACAAAAGGAATAAAGAAGAGGAAATAGTAACTAGTAAATATATTTCTTTTTTGGTACTGGGGATCAAACTCGGGACCTCGAGCTTTCGAGGCAGGTGATGGAGCCACTGAGCTAAATCCCCGGCCCACTAGTAAATATCTTAATATAGTGCTATCAATTTTCATGTTTTGATAATTGGGAGACTTTGTCATATAAGATTTTGATGCATAAATTATTGAAAATAATTTTTAAATTGCCATTAAGATGTGTCAAATGATATTAATACTAAATTATTCCTCACTAAATCTACAAAATGACTGACCATGTGTTAGTAAATTAACCAAAAAGTTAATGGAAAGAAGCATCAAGTACATTCTCCTTGCAATAATAACTTAAATATTTAAATAGACCGAGGGACCCCCAAACAAATCAACTGAAAAGACAGACTTATAGAAAATACAGGAAAAAAGGAGAGTTTGAGAAAGAAATATTACCTAAAAATAATAAGAACAGCATGAGATAGAAACATAAGGACTAATAACAGGAAAAGTTCAGCTATTTTCAAAAATCATATGATGAATTACGTTAACACAAATAAAAATGGACAGCTGTGAAGACCTTTGACATTTTATAATCAAACACAGTTGGCTATCTCAACTCTTTTTGCCAAATGTATCACATGACCCGTTAACATACAAGTTTCTCCGATAGTACCCACAGATGACAGCACAAATCACAACTTCTTAGGGGTATGATCTGCTAATGCGTGTCATTAGACACTTCAGCCTTGTATTACACCAGCTAGCTGCAAATTCCATTATATGTTTATACCCTTGATAGTCAGCAACAATCATTATGCATTAAGTGTTTTCGGGGAACAAAACAACAATTGGTGAAACATATCAAAAATTTCAATATAGATCATGCAAAGACCTGGTGACAAACTTAAAAAGTGTCTGGCTCTGCCCTTCATAAGTGACAGCTGCTTCCACTTTATCAAACCATGTAGACAGCAGTGAGATTGTTTCCGACGGTGTAGAATCAGAGCATGACTTGCTGAGATGTAGAGAGGGAGCTCTTTTTATAGACTTTTCAGGGTTACAGATAGACAAAAACTTTTACCAGCTTTCCACTTACGGTGCTCATGAGTGTCACATGACTAGCTGATAAAACAGAGCACTCTGCAGGAAAATCTACTTCATCTCAAAGCTTGAAGAAGAGAAATAAAAATGCCCTACAGTGTAGTCACCTTTCTCCTTCAGTCATGGGCATGTGTTATCAACAGCATGTGGCAAAGACAGGAGGACAAGGAGGACACAGTGGCACCAACAGGGAAAAGGACATTTCGCTGCCAGGTTCTTACATCGACCGAACACCTTTGAAATCATAACCTTTGGTTTAGCAATGACTTTATCTGTGCCAGCTGACACAGTGAAGGCGGCACCGGTGATCTGTGCTTGGTGAGCAAAGCCCACAGCAGCACATATCAAGCGAAGACCAGGTCCTCCTTTAAAATGTCAGAGTTCATTCAACGTCAAAAAGACAAAAGAGAAAGAAAGTTAAACAAACCACAACCAAGGACCCACTAAAAGATCAATTGTGAAAATAGATCCCAGACAAGAAAAACATATGAGACACCATTTGATGAAATGTGTTTGATTTTCTTAATATTTTCTTTCCTATTGTTTCTATCATTGCAAAAAAATCACACTAGAAAATATTTTGAAAAGCTCGGGTATCCTCTTCTGTAATCGATGGATCTGAAAATTATAGACTTTCATCAATGTAGGTTCTTTCTTTGCTTTTTTGTCCCTTTTTAAGAATACTTATATATAATCCATATTTTGGGGGAGAAACAATTCAGAAACCCCCAATTAAACCAAGTGTTTCAAAATATCTTATGTTCTCACAAGTAAATTAAACTATAGGAAAGCAACATGTTCAAATACTAGATATTTTTTAAAATCCAAGTTTATAGAAGGAAAATTCATTTTTTTAAGGAAAAAAATAACAATTTATAAGGACAAGATTCCTAATGGAAAAATACTGGATTCATAGCAATTTAATTGAAACAAAAGTGTTCAAGAATGCTATTAAGGAAAATAAGGTTCACCTACATGTTTATAGCCAACTTACCTCTTTTTGCTTTTGATGTCAAGTAGTGCATAAAAAGAGAAAAAAATTTATGTTTAACTTATTCTAATGTCATTACATAATGGCTTATCCTCATAAATACCTACTCAGAGTAAAGGCCTACACTGGTTTTTAAAGGATTCTATGAATAGAAGTGAAGCAGGAACTGTCTAATAGCCAGAAACAAGTTTACAGGATTAACTAAGCAGCATACTCATTGGGATATCTGTGTCAGGGACTTAGGTACCATCTGAGTGTAAGCAAATGGTATCTGTTCCTACCCTAAGCTTTGAATTTTGATTCTGATAATCTGAAGTGATAAGAATGCTGTTCCCTTCTGGTCTGGTCCTGTTCCGTTCTTTTTGTGGTGCTGGGGATCAAACCCTGGGCCTCGTGCATCCTAGGAAATCACTGCTCTGTGTAGCGCTGAGTTCCATCCCAGCCCCCCAGGCTGATTTGCTATTTCTAGTGGGATATATTTTTCTGTCTGTTTTTGAGGAACTAGAGATGGACCCAAGGCCTCGTGTATGCGAGGCAAGTGCTCCACTACTGAACCCTGGTAGGAGGTAGGGTTAAGTGTAATGAAGAATTGAGAGGCAAGGCTCTGTTCAGATAAGAAAAGAAAAAGAAAGGTAGATGAACAACATCAGGGCAGCAAAAGAAAATCCTCATGGTGAGGGAAATGTATTGTCTTCAACTAAAAAAAATTACTAATGTTTATGTCCATTAAAGATAAATTTAGTTAAAATGACAGTCGTGCCATAGGCATCACTCTAAAAAATAGATGTACACATTTTATATAAATCTTTAAATGTAAATTTTGAAATTAGGAACTTTATGAAACAGATTATATATTTAATATAAATCTTTACATGTAAATTTTAAAGTCAGGAGTTTTGTTTTTTTTAAAATCCTTATTCTATCAGGGCATGAAATGCACATCTTTAATCTTGGCTACTTCGGAGGAGCCAAAGTTCAAGGCAAGCCTGGGAAACTTGGTGAGACCCTGTCTCAAAGTAAAATAAAAGGGGTTAGGATGTAGCTCAGAAGGAAAGCACTTGCCTAGCATGTGGGAAGCCTCAGGTTCAATGCCCAGGACTGAAAAACAATAAATATAAACAAGTCATTTTGTAACAATCCAATCTGGCCCATCTCCTGAGAATGGCTGACGGCAGCCATTATGTGAGAGGCCAGTTCTAGACAGGTCCCCCGAAGGAGACTGAATTTGCAGACTGACCACACTTGAAGTGACAAAAAGAAGCAAAATGCCAAAAAAAAAAGAATGAGAAAATTGGGGTCCTATAATGTCTAAAGCCAAGATAAACTTGGCTTTTATGCGTACACAAAAAACGAAATCTGTGATAGTGAGAGTATATTAATGACTTCATTTCTAGCTAACAGATAACAAGACTGAATGGTTATATGACATCTATATGACTTTACACTTAAAGGATAGAATAAAGCCCACCATTTCGAGTTGTCTTTTTTCCTTTGTCTGCTCATACCTTCCAGACATAATACGCTGGGGAAATGGCCAAGAAATCTGAACACAATCAATAGAGGGCTAAAGAGACGGTGTGTGGACAGCGACACAGCTGTGCCCGAGGAATCCCAGGTGTCAGAAATGCACCTTTGTCCTTTAGTGAGTACAATGCACTGTGGATCCTATCTGGTTGACCAGGTGTAGAAATTTAATTACTAGGTCACTATAAGTAGTCCAGGTGTAAAATGCTACAGAACCTCATCTTCTTGATAGCCCTTAAAGGGGTAGGAAGTGGCAAGCCCGCAGGTCCCTGCATGCGCTTTATGGTGCCACATGTCACTTGTGCCGGCTCACAGCCAGAGCTCACTGCTCCTGCAGGCCCGCTGCTCGGAGCTCGGGAGAGCCTGTGGATCCTGCGCTGCTACCTGGAAGATCCATTCCCCGACCTGCTCAGACACCTGGGTTTGGGTACCTGCCCAGCTGATAGGCACCAGAGAAGACTTCTGACTTAAATCAGTAGCCCTATATGTGGTGTAACAATATAGGTATATTTTTGGATACTGAATCCTATCTGCTTTGAGAAGGAAAGTAAGGTATTAGCACATTGCAAGAATTCCAGCATGAACTTAGGAACACTGACTGCTCTTTCTGCTTTGCATATTCTGTTCATGGCACATAGACATTTGATTTTTTGCAGTGCTGAGGAGAGAGCCCAAAGCATGCTAAATAAGCACTCTGAGCTACACACCCAGCCCCATACATAGATACTTTAAGCTGTCAAAAATTTTGCCTTACATATTAATGAGAATTTTTCTTCTTCTTGGAAACAACTTCCCCTTTTTGTAGAACTGTAACACACACTGCTGAGATGTTAGTACATTTACTTAGACATCTATACAGAAACATGGGTTTATACGAGGGGTTCCAGACCCCATCATGGAAGAGAATATCTTGAATTCACAGAGATTCAAGGTGGGGAGAAATCTCTTCAGGATTTCTTCCCTGCAGACTCTTTTTCACATTCATGAGGCTTCGTGGGCAGAAGGAAGCTGGTTTGCCTGGGCCCTGGCTTCCCTGGATACCCTGTGCAGCTACTCGGGTATGTTTTCTCAGATTCTCTACAGAGAGGAAAGGCCCTCCACAAGGCAGAGTCTAGACACATCTTAGGGGATGCCTCATCGTCGGGTTTGTTACCAAAGAGGGTGGGCTGCTGTTACCACAAGGGCAAACAACCTGCAGACCAGCACCTGCGGGTGGGATCAAAAAGAATGCCACAGCTCTTCAGAGCACACCGAGGCATGGCTTTGCTCTGGGATGTGAGGAAGAAGATGGGGCGGTAGAGCGCACAGCTGTTTTGTTCCGTGTGACCAGCTGGCCCTTATCAGGTGGAGGCTGGTCCTTCCATGGAGTCCAAAGCAGGATCCACATGATCCTGGATTATGGGACTCAATCCTAGAGGTGCCTCTCCTGGGCTTTGGGTTTTCTTGTCGATATTTATTCGGGGAACCAGAAGGTAGAGCCATTTGGCTGCACCCTATCCTCACAGTTTACTTTGCTTGCAATGCTCAGGCTCTGAATATGGAATCTTTTAAGGACATGCAATTCCTGGACCGTAATACCTGACAGAAGAGAGCAACAGCAAAAGCGGAATGAAAATGCTGACAGAGCTGTGCTGGCCAGAGGCCCCCTAGCCACTGGCTCTGTGGGTGGCTCCACTCTGCAGCACGGAATGGCTTACTTGGCTCCGTCCTCAGCTTCCTCTTACTCTGGGAAGAAGGAAAACACTTGAGACTCACCTTGGATGAGTCTGATGTATTTTCAGTATCTACAATATATGCTGCCATTTAAAAGTGGCAAAATGCATTTGAAACATTTTCAAAACACTTTCTGCTTTGTTTGTTTGTTTTGTTTTGTTTTTTTGGTACGGGGCATTATCAAACTCAGGATCTTGGGCTTGCGAGGCAGGTGCGGTGCCACTGAGCTAAATCCCTGGCCCCAACACTTTCTGCTTAAAATAAGAAATATAGGCTTTCCACAACTTGGTTATATCAATTTTTAAAAAATTGATATGTTATTTTGACTAAGTTGATACAAGTTATTTTGACTATAATTGACTAAGTTATTTTCTTGTTTTAATAATATTTAAGGAATATATTTTGTTAGCATATATCTAAACATTAAGAATTAAGTACTTATTCTGGAGATCTACTAACGAACAAAAGAGGCTATAAAGTATATCCAAACATTTAATATGTATCTCTTTAAAAGAGCATTGCTTTAGAGACAAAGCTGAGTCAATCTGAAACAGCAAATATCTGATTCAGTTCTCCAGTATAAAAGAAACTATATAAAAGAAACCGGATGTGGTGGTGGCACACCTGTAATCCCAGCACTTGGGAGGCTGAGGCAGGAGGATTGTTTTGAGTTCAAAACAATCCTGGGCTATACAGTGAGTTCAAGGCCAGCCTGAACTACATGGCGAATTCTTGTCTCAGAAACAGAACCAAATTAAACAAACAACCCCCCCCCCCAATATGTGCCATCTTAAATCTTGTCTTAAATAGGATGTGACTTATTAAAATTTAATTTTTGAGTAGAAATTACATCTAGTCAAACCCACTGGTGAGTAAGACACTTGGGAACTGTACTGAACAAGGAGCAGGCACAGCCATAGCCACACGTGGCTCTGGCAGTTGCAGCGCAGTGGCCCAGTTGTTTCTGTGTTTCATGGTGAAATGATACCACTGTGAATGCACTGTGCTAAATAAAATGTATTATTAAAATAAGCTCACTTGTTTCTTTTCACTTTTCATAATGTGGCTAGTAGAGAATTTAAAATTACATATGTGGCTTATATTTCTACTGGGTTGCTCTGGTCTAGAAGGTTAGAGTCTGGTAGCTGACATTTTTGTCACTTGGCAAGACATATGCCTATTTCACATATGGAAACATTTTAAAGCTTTTCCTCTATAATTTCTTTTGATTGAAAATAATCAAGAAAAGCCAGGCATGGTGGTGCACATTTGTAATCTCAGCTCTCGGGAGGGTGAGGCAGGGGGATCACTGTGAGTTCAAGGCCAGCCTAGGCTACATAGCAAGATCCTGTCTCAAAAAACCAACAAAACAAAACCAAACCAAAAAGAAGAAGATGAGCTGATGTGAAATGAGAGCCAAGAGAAATGAGTGAAGAAAACAGCATGCATGACAATGTGGTCGTGCCAGTGTTGCTGGTAACACATACACACCATGCATATTTGTTTATGTGTATATATTTCTCTGCATCTGCTTGCATGTGTACAGAATGTTTCTGGTAGGATCTAGAAAGCTGGATGAGTACAGTTGTGGCAGAGGTCTACTTCCTACTATATACACTTCTGCACCTTTTTAATTTTGAGGCATCATTAACTATTTAAAAATATACTTACAAAATACACAAAAAAGGAATAAAATAAAGGAAGCATGTAACTTTCTACAGTACTTTGTACTCCATAGTGATAAATTTTGCCTGCTAAAATGGATTTTTAAAACT